AGGAAGCCAACAAGAGTTTAGACCCAAAATACTTTGCATACCACAGGAGGGTTCTTCATCCCACTAAGGCCTGCTTCGCTCTCAAAAACAGAATCCAAGCCTTGATTGACACCGACATCATAACGACGAAACAAGCCAAATAATAACGGCAACACACTCCGAAGAGTATAAGAGTATAAACTGCTTCTTTCAAAACTCCAAAAAGTATAAGAGTATAAACTACTTCTTCTGATACTCCAAAGAGTATAAGAGTATAAACTGCTTCTCTATTTACTCCAATAGGTATATGAGTATAAACTATTTTCCCAACCTCCAACAGGTATATGAGGATAAATACATGTATAGGCCACCAAAAAAAACTTGTCACGCTCCGCTTCCCAAAATACCCGGGAATCGGAACGTGAATAAGCCCGCAACGTATTAGATTAAGAAGAATAAATAAAAATGAACATTCCTCCTCAACCTAATACGCTAAGCGTCAAGAAATAAATGCAAAGGCACATGTCCCTGATCACAGTTAGCAATAATATAATAGATAAACTTAGAACTAAATATCCATATCACAAGTGAATATCATCCAAGACATAATATTCGGGTCAACATGCGCTTATGCAAAATTGAACAACTAAAAACAGAAGAAATATAAAATACATCGTTCAACAGAAAAGAAAGGAAGCACTAAAAAAATAAACTAAGGACCATCAAATAACTAAGGAAATAGCTAAGCTTCAACTTGTTATTCTGTTCCGTCTGCAATGCACTCCTGCTGAGAATCCTCTGGCTCCTGTACGATTCCGAACTGAGGCTGTCTGTCTCCTAAATCTAACATACACCAGAGAAAATAGGTGTACGTCAGTGTGCATGACACACAACAAGATCCTGCATGGGAGAAATGAAACGGTCGAATGACCAAGGCAATAACAGTAATAATAAATAGAAGCATGCAGCTAGAATACTAAAAACTAGATGAAATCCACCAATAGTATATAATAATCAAAGAATCCAAAAATCAATCGGGTAACGAGGTCATGCAGCTAGCAATCAGAATAATCATCCAAGTAACAGGGTCATACAGCTAGATAGAATTAATACTTAAAAATCTACAACACGAGACATAGTACGTCGAACGAAATAATCCAAACAAGAAAACCCTCATGTATATATCATATGTCTCAAATTGTAGATAATTAAATATTAATCCCGATCTATGTATGAAAAGAAATACACCTGGTCTACATCTCACAATAATTCATACTTAGTCAAGAAGCGAGGTTATGTAACTAGCCATCCTATAACAAGTCACTAGTCCACATCTCACACAGAATCAACGCTCATATCATCGGATAACTGACTGTTCACAAATCTTCTACGTGCATCCAGTGCCGCTACACGAATTGGTCAGAGGACTACACGCAATCTGATTCTGGCCTAGTCCGAACTCAAGCAAGACTCGGGTGACTACACGATTTTCATTGACTAAAGTGACTACACGAATTCACTTTAGCCCAACAAACCAACCCCAGTGACTACACGAATTTACTGGTGCGAGCCTGAAAGATACATCAACAGCCACATCCAATCACATGAACCAAGACTTTCCATCCCAACTCTTCTCGCTTTTCTAAGTCAACAAACATAACTTACACTAGATCTCTGGTCCACCTCCTAAATTCAGTCAACACACACACACATGTCACTAAGTCTTGTTCATGACACACAAGGCCACTAAGTCATGAACTAGTAAGGGTTCTCAAATACAATAAGAAATAATAAATAAAACAACCAATCATGTACAACGGTATCATAGCATACCACGTAATTAAAAAAAGAAGCATGGAATCGACGATTATTTTGCACATAAAATGTCGCGGTCAATAACCATCCATCACACGTTCATAAACTAAATTAATTCAAAATAAATAATTCTTTTACAAAATAAATTCCTTTCAAATTATCTCTCACCATAATTATTCTAAAACTAATCTCTTAAAATAATAAATTCATAAATTCAAAATAATCTTTTTACAAGATAAATTCTTATTAATTCAAAATAGTCTATTTACCCAAAATAAATTCTTTTAAAATATTTATCATTCTAAAATAATTCCTTCCACAAAATAAATTCTTAAAAATATTATAATTATTCTAAAATAACCCTATTGTTCAAATAAATTCTTTAATCTATTATAATTATTCTGAAAATACTATTTATCACATAATTACAATTTATTTAATCACAATTTAATATAAGCACATAATTCATAATTTCATCAATAAGCCCACGCAGATAATTATTAACAGATCTAAAATTACAGATAATTCATAATAAATACAAAAATTCAGATCTAAGCAAATGGGATCTTGCGTAGGGTTTTTTGTCGAACGTATCGACTTTGACGTGCAAGTCCTCGGCGAGCGTCGGTGTTGGGGCACTGGTGTGGGTTGTCGGCGAGCTCGAGACGACAGGGAGCTCTTAGGGCAACGGTTGATGAAGAGGGGAGTTCGACGGATATAGAGGAGGAGCTGGTCATCGGAGTTGGAGGTTGGTCGGGGAAGAGAAGAGAAGAAGGAGAGGGAGGCTGGTGGTTTGGGGTTGGACGGCGACCGGCGAAGGGGGAAGGAGGTCGGCGATGAGGAGGGAGGTGGTGGCGATGAGGAACACGAGAGAGGGAGGAGAGAGGGTATAGGCTGCGGCGGCGAAAAACAACACGAGAGAGTGAGAAAGAAGAGAGGATGCAGCTACGTGAAAAGAGAGAGAGAGAGAGAAAAAATAAATAAATATATATATAGGAAAGGGTTAGGGTTAGGGCTTTAACGAAAATAATTAATAAAAAATATAATTATTTATATTTTAAATCAAATAATTCTGGGAAAATTATCTATAAAATAAAACGTACCAGTTATACTAATACGACAGATAATATGCAACAGTAGAAATAATACAACAAATTGTACAATTAAATAAGAATAATTAATAAAAAATATAATTACTTACATTTAAAAACAAATAATTATGGAAGAATTATCTACACAATAAAACGTACCAGTTGTACTAATACAACCGATAATATGCAATAATAAAAATAATACAACAAATTATACAAATAATACATAATTAATAATAGAATATATTATACGAAATAATACGTAATAATAATAATACAACATATTATTTAAAATGATACGTAATAGTATCGATAACACAACAGATAAATTACTGAAATTTTTACTGCACTAAATAAATTTATAAATATCTAAATTATTTAAATAAATATAAAACTTGGACTTTTAAATCGTAGAAAATTTTAGAAAATCAAGAAAAAATACAAATACTCTTTTAAAAAAATAATTAAATATTTTAAAATACCTGAAAAGTTATTTAACTAGTATCAAAATTCACGGTCATTACAATTATCGATAATTTCCCCTCTAACTTTATATAAAAAATTCTTTAATTTTTCTTCACAAAATTTATAAATAATTCAAAATTTATTTTAAAATCTAAATTTACACAAGCTATTAGCATGAAATAGTGAGAATATATAAAAAAAGCAGGAGATTTTTTTTTAAAGATTTTACCTAAAATTTGTGGATGCCCTAATTTTCGGTAAACTCCGATGGTGACGGTGGCGAGATCGATCAACGACGGTGATGAAAAGCCAACAGGGCGGCGGTAGGGTCGACAGCGGCGGAGGCGGGAGAAAGGGGCTAGAGTTTTTTGGGAACGAAGGAGAAAAGAGAACGACTGGGTCGCGTGGGTGGGGTTGGTCGTGTGGGCCTTAAATAGCCATTGTCAAACTCCACGGGACTTCAAATTTCGTGGAGTTGCAAGCAAATTTTCTAGAAAGCGATGCTCTCTGGATTTTCCGACTGAGACTTCACGGGACTTGAAGTCCCATGAAGTTTGGTGGAATTGAGAAATTTCACGGGACTTCAAGTCCCGTGAACTTATAGCCCCTCTAATCGAGTTTGTTAAACTTCACGAGACTTCAAGTCCCTTGAAGTTTTATATTTTTTTTCGCCGAAATCGACCCAGTTTCAGCCAACTGACTGAAACTGGGTCGATTTTGATAAATAATTTAGAAACAGATCGATTTTTGCAATTAAGTTTTTAAATGGGTTGATTTTGAAAATTTGAGTTACCTATTTAACTCACCAACATTTTTCGCTCGACACAGCCCTAGCAAAAATCCTACATTTCTGCCTCCATTCCCTTCAAAAACCTCTCGGATCCAACAGAACCCTAGATTCCTTCACCTCCATCCCTAGGGTTTCGTCCTCCGATCACTGCGCCGTTAATGGCGCAACCAATGGAAGTCCTCAAGGCCGCCGCCGAAGAGGTCTCCACTTCTTCTACTAAGAAGCGGATTCAACTCTTTCGCGAGAAGCTGCCGCCGATTCTGCAGAGCTCAGGTAAACTCTAGAGCTCGCCAATTGGTTCCTAGGGTTTGGGAACTACTAGGCTTCAGCATGTTAGAATTTGCTAGAACTTTGATTTCACATAATACAGCGAGGAAAACTGCTTGCATTAGTGAGGTTTAGCTCTTCTATTGATTTTCTAGGGTTTTGGAGTGTTGAATTGATTTGACAGAACTTAGAACTTTACTTTATGTTTTGTTTCTGATGGAAAATTTGATGGTTTCTCGTGAAATATTTAATTCAGAACAATTTTAGGACGTTGGCATGTTAGATTTTTTTAGTCTTTGATTTTAATCTGGCGAAAGGACAATTTGGCGTGAGGAAAATTGCCCGAAAGGAGTGAAATGTAGTTCCAACTAACAAACGCAAGTGAAGTAACAACAACAAAAGTGTACACCGAAGAAGAAATATTGAACTAAGTTCATGCATGAACAAAGGAAAACATGGATCGACAATGGAAGAGCATGGCGATGATAATAGAATGGATCATTGATTTGTCCTTCATTTTGTGCATCATATTCTTGTTTTGTTGCAATCGGAACCCTGCACATTTTCCAACATCGGAGCTCTTTGCTGCTGTTAGTACTACATATGCATGCTTGTAGCACATGGTGCATCTTTTGTCAGCATTGTATTGCTCAAAAGAAGAGCGGCATGAAGTCTGTTCGGAAGATATTGAAGTTTTGGAGGGAACTCAAATGATCATACCCTTTCTAGCGCTCTTACAGTTCAAATCGGCATGGTTTCAGCACAGTCAGTGTCCTATCCTGTTCAGAGACATTAGTTGCATGATATAACCAGGGGAAGTACATGGAGTTCAAAGAATGGAGGAAGGGAGTTTAGGCGAGTTGTCTGACAGGCCAGGTGCTGTATAATGGCTTTGATCTCAAAGCCCATGTGAAATTCCATGATGTCAGCAGCCTATGACTTCACAATCTATGTGTCTTGAGCGCTGGTCTTTGATTGAGCCTGAGTAGACTTTTGTAGTTCCAAGTCGTCAGCGTCTTCATTTTCCCTTCACTTCTGGGGATTGTAAAGACTATTATTAACATTCACCAGTGTTGTAAATAGCGGCCAATAGCGGGGCTATAGCGGCGCGAATAGCGGTCGCGGCCCTTCAGCGCTACGCGTAGGGGTTTCGCGGCTGGCTTAAGCGGGAAAATCCGCTATTCATTTGAATAGCGCGTAAAAGCGGATTTTAGCGGGTTAAAAGCGGATTTTCGCGGTTAAAAGCGGATTTTCGAGGTTAAAAGCGGATTTTTGTTGTTAAAAGCGGCTAAACCCGCTATCACACATATTATGATGTTATATTTCTTGAATTTCTTCATAGTTTCATTCATACAACAAGCTTATTAATTGTTATTTATTGATAATACAAGAAATTTACAACTAATTGAATTTTTAGATTTTTTTTATGAATTTTCTTATTATTTAGGATATTTAAATATATTTAAATTTGACCGCTATTTGACTGTGCGCTATTTGCCGCGATTTCGCCGCAATAGCCCGATATAACCTTAGCGGTACCTCGCCGCGACGCGCCGCGATCCGCTATCAGCAACCTTGACATTCACTGTAAAAGCTGTTAGCTGTTATAAATTAGTCCCTACCTTCAGCTTTTCTTATTCTTGCAATGACGAATTGCTTATCAACTATTATTTATGCTAGGAGCTTGCTAATGCTCACTCTTTAGGATCAACCTTGTCATAAGGTCAAGTCAAAGCCTCATAAGGACTTGTCTTGGGAAACAAGTCAACAATATTGACAACAAAACCTTCCATTCCAAAATTTTAAGGCCAGCTACACAAATCTTATTCTTCTATTCAATAATGTTGAGGACTAGCTCATCCGTTAAGTTAACCACTTTCATATTCTGCTTAATCACTTATAACCGAGCTCTCTATGGTCTATCCCTAGATCTTGTGCCCCACTAATTATACTATTATCTCCTCTCCTAATTAATGCAGTTTGTGGCCTTTATTGTGACCTCATCCGTTAAGTTAACCACTTTCATATGCTACTTAATCACTTCTAACCAAGCTCTCTTTGGTCTACATCTAGATCTTGTTGCCCCACTAATTATACCATAATCTACTCCTAATTGATGCGTTTTGTGGCCTTTGTTGCATGCGGCAAATATTCTCTCTCAATTTTCTGTCATTTTATTCTCAATAGGAGCAACCTCTAACCGTTCACTTATTTACTCATTGTTTATTCTATCTCTCAATATATGTCCACAAGTCTATCATTTCTTCTACTTTCACGCACATGTTTCTTAATTGCTTGACGTTCTTATCTATAAAACATTGTCAGTCTTGTAAACGTCATATAGTATTTTATCTTTGATAGGTATTTTACAGTCACATAGGACTTCAGAGTGCTCCGCCATTTTTTGAATCATATTTTGATGCAATGAACCATATCATCTGAAAGCTCTTGATCATGAAGAATAATTAATCCTATATTGGGAAAGTGACTATTCCTAGGTATTTCTAGACTATCACTGGTCTATCTCCAAGCTATTAATTAATACATGCATAAATCATTGATGTAAAATGCGTTTCTGTTACACATTTAGTATGATAGTGAATAACACAAAGTTGGATTTTTCACCCCAAACAAATTATGTGGAATTATTCAAATACCATATTGATTCTCATTCAGTTTCAATTTCCATTCAGTCTCAAAGTTCAGTCATAGACCTTCAATTCGGACTCAATTTAGTTTCGATTCAGCCTAATTCATTCTCAGTTCACTCTCCACTCTATATATCCTGCCTTCGGTGAACCACTTTAGGATGCAGATGATAAAAGAAAGAAAGTAGCATTTTTTTTGTGCTACGGAAGAAACACAATAAAGGAGAAAAATGAAAAAAAATGAGAAAAAAGAAATCAAGATCGGTTGCCATCATGACCACAACCTATCTGTATTGTCTCTGAGAGAACAACAGCTTGAGAGGAACAAAATCGGAACAAAAAATTTAGAATTTAGAAGAAAGAAATGTAATGGCAAGAATTAAATTTTGTTGTTCTTACCGCCACCTCTAGGTTGCTTTTGTCATGTTGCCACCACTTTATCACCATCGCTATGGCATCATCACGAGATAACCATTCTATCATTGCCATTGAATTTGGCATTGTCACACAAAAGGAGAGGGGGAGAGAGAGGAGGGTTTGGTAGGAGGATTAAGATTTAGGGATTTTTTTGATTTGATGGTATAGATTACTTGGTCCAATTTGAATTTTGGATTGCAACCTGAAAAGAAAAAGAAGGATGATGAAACAAACATGTAGTTCTGATTGCATCCATTCGCTTTCCTGGTGCATAGGTTCAAACTTATGTCTTCAAGCATCCAATTAGTGTCAAGTCTCAGTAGGCTCTACTGAAATTTGGCCCACTCAAGTTGGAAATTATCTATAAATGTTTCTAATAGCCATCAACTGGTTCAACTGAGCGGTATCATTCATGCATCCACTTTCTATCTGGGCATAATAATTTCCTTTTCGGTTTTAATGCTATAATGTTTCAGGGTTTCCGGGTATGTGATTGACCATCTGTATTTTATTTAGTAAAAAAAGAATTTAGGTCTTAGATAATATATTCAAGCTCATCTTGCACAATCAAACTTCAAAAATTTATAATTTTCAGCCTTGTGTTAACTTCAAAATTATATATCTCCACTTTTCGTTCACTTTTGCAGAGTTATCGTCAGATGTTGTGTCTTTACTGGTTGATGTTATTTTTCAAACATTGCCCATTTATGACGACCGTGCATCAAGAAAAGCCGTAGATGATTTGATTGTTAAAGGTCTTGGAGAAGCTACATTCATGAAGATCTACGCTGCAGCTCTTGTCCAGTTCATGGAAAGGCATCTAAAAGGTCACAGTCCTGTAGGATGCTACAAACTTCTGAAGTGGTCATGCCTCCTATTGCAGTGGAGTCAGTTTGCTTTTGTATCCAAAGGGGGGTTCCTTAGATTATCTACTGCACAAGCATTCCTATGTCAAGTTCTTATGCATGGTCCTTATCGTACCTGTAGAGCCTGCAAGAAAATCTTTTTTCATCTTTTCTCTGAGGTACCTTGGAACAGCAATCTTAACCATTAAATTTAGCAAATGTCATTGTCGTTCATTTGAGTCCATTGTCATGTTGATTTTGCATTTATTTTTCACGTTTCAGTCTCCAGATATCTATAAGATGTATATAGAGGAATTGAAGGATTCAAGAATCTCCATCAGGGACAGCGCTGAACTGATAAGAATATTACTCAGCTATTCAATTTCTATTTCATCTCTTTTTGAAAGCTACAAGGTAGTTAACAGATTCATCATGTTAGTTGGTTATGTCTAGTCTGTGGGATTATCTAAATGTATTGTTTGCTTTGTGCAGTCTGTGTTCCTGGAGATGTATGTCAAAGCAGTTCTGAATGCAAAGGAAAAGCCATCACAAGCTCTTAGTGAGGCTTTTCTACCGCTTTTCATGCATGTAGGGCATGAAGATTTTAAAGCTCTAGTGTTTCCGTCATGTGTGAAAATGTTGAAGCGAAATCCAGAGATCGTGTTAGAATCCATCGGAGAATTACTAAAGTCAGTCAAACTGGACTTGAGCAAATATGCAACAGAATTTCTTTCAGTTGTCTTGCCACAAGCTCGGCATGCTGATGAAGGAAGAAGGATTAGGGCATTGGATATTGTCGGCTGTTTGAGTCAAATGTCCAGTGATCCAGATACTCAACCGTCAATGTTCAATGCAATAAAAAATATTTTAGGAGGTTGTTCTTTTTTTGTCGTGGTTTCAATATTTACGATGCCTTTTAATTAATGATGGGCCTTATTTTTTATTATACTTCCAATTACCATTAGATTGGAATCTTGTTTAGACGATGCACATCAGTTATTTATCACAATTTAATTTGAGCAGGTTCTGAAGGCAAGCTGGCACTTCCTTACCAGAGGGTTGGAATGGTAAATGCTATACAGGAGTTATCCAATGCCCCCAGTGGGAAAGCCCTTAACAAGCTAGCTCCTTCTGTGTCATGCTTTCTTGTATCCTGTTACAAGGATGATGGTAGGATATGGTCGATCTCGTTAGTGTTATCCGTAAAAATGTCCATTTTGTCTGGTCATAGTCATCCTATTGTTTGTATGGGTTCTGTGTGGTCACCTTTTTTTTTATGTCGCTTAAATACAGGCAGTGAAGAGGTGAAGGTGGCAGTCCTGTCTGCTTTGGCTTCTTGGGCATCAAGATCGGCTGAAGCTGTTCAGCCAGATGTTGTTTCTTTCCTTGCTTCAGGATTAAGGGAAAAGGAGAATTTAAGAAAGGGGCACCTTAGATGTTTGCGAGTGATATGTAAAAGTTCTGACTCGCTAACACTGGTGAGGAACTTGTTATGTTTCATGTTTGTTGCCATAGGACAAGAATAGTCCGTACTAATATTTGTCATCTTTTTAAGTGATTTTTTTTATTGATGCTTTCAGGTTTTGCCTCTCCTTGATCCTCTTGTTCAGTTGGTAAAAACTGGCATTACTAAGGCCACACAGAGGTTGGATGGAATATATGCTCTCTTTTCAGTATTAAAGATTGTCACTCTTGATGCCAAAGCAGGTATTTTGGTAAACTTGTTATAGTGTACTGATGATATATATCATTAGTTGCACTGTGTGAAATTGTGATTTAATTTGCAGAGGAGATTCTTCTCAAGGAGAAGCTTTGGACGTTGATTGCTCAAAATGAATCGTCATTGATGTCCATTCCCTTGGTAAATATACTTTACTGTGATTATAAAGGCATCCCTTATGTTAATAAGCAATTAGTTTGTAGTTAGTTTTCCTTTGAGCAAAATACTTTGTGTTCATCACTATTATATAATGTGCGTGTTTGTTGTCTGTCATTGCATAATACAATTGTACCTATCCAGTATATAATGGGAAAGGAGGTATTGATTACCTGCTTATTATAAGAATAATATGGACCGTATGTTCTTTTTATGAATGGGAAAGGAGGTGTTGATTGCCTACTTATTAAGAGTAATGTGGATCCTATGTTTTTTATGAATGAAAGTGAAATACAAGATCTTAGGTCTTTTATGTATTACATCTTCACATCGGGCAATTTTCATTATTAAAATGAAAAAAATAAAATGAATTCTATGTAGGATGTGGGCCTATGTCTCCTATAACATATATAATTTTGAAACTACACCATGTATATATGTAATTTGTATTAGAAAGTGTATACTATATAGTTTACACAAGTAATTTGACAATTTTCTGGTATGCCATGCACATGCGCATTATACACATGTTCTCATGTTCATTACCTCATATGTCACATAAAACAATTATCGAAATGCTTGACCCCGCCATTTGTCCAACATATCATGCTGTCTTTAGCTGCGTAGACCAATGTGCTGTCATACAAAGAGAAATTGATGTTACCAATTAAAACATAAATGTTCTCTAGTCCGCACTTGTTTCTGCTAATACTTTATATCCTTGTCATGATTACTTTTTTGCTTTTACTTCGTAAACTCCCTCTGAACTTTGATGGGTTTTGTACATAACCCCCTACCTTTTTTATTTCACCCTCCCGGAACTTTGGGGTGTCTCACAGTACTCCCTTGAAGTTTAATCTTTTCTCAACTGACCCCCTATCTGTAATTAGCAAATGACTAAAATTGTCACACCAAATGAGAGAACCCCCCCCCCCCCCCCCCCCCCACCTTAGTTATCTTTCATTTACAAGCAGTGCTGCCACTCTCCTGATTCAAGAGCTGTCTAGGACATTTATGTTATTTGTTACTTTCAGGCTTGGTGCTAAACTTCAGGGGCATTTCATGAGTTCAGGGAGGTTTGTGATAAAAAAATCAGGAGGGTTATGTGCAAAACCTCTAAAATTCAGGGTTTTTTTTGTCAATTAACTTTATTTTTTAGGCAAGTTATTGTTATTGTTATTAATATATCAGGCACAAAGTATATGCATTCTTAATTTGTAAAATAATTGGTGCTATCACACCAAAAGTTATACAACTTATTATTGTGGTTTATCTCTATTTTTGGATGCGTTTCTGCTAGTGTGATTTAAGGATTCTTCCAGTTTTGCGTTTTGATTGTTATTTACTTATATAGAAGCCCAACTTTATTGCAGCCAATATTTTCCTTTTAGAACCTGTTTAAAAACAGTTAAATGTAACAGATCAGATATGTTGTAGTCAGTTGTTGTCTTTGCTTCTGTTTGTGACCTTTGAATGTTTTTTCTTCTACCTTTGGGAAGATAGATGGAATCATTTTATGTGAAATGCCTTTTCTTTACACTTTGAAGCTTCGAGTTGCTTTTATTTTGAATTTATATTTGGCAATACTGTTATATAAGTAGCTGACTTCACCCTAAGGTTCTTTACTAATTGATGATGCTGTGAACCTTCTTTATCATTTTCCTGCTTTTGCCCGGACCATATGCAGACTTTTGCACTTTTCTTCGCTTAGTTTATCTTTATCAATGTTTATTCAATCTCAGATTTCGTTTCTCCTCTTCGACTTGTACAAGCATAATACAGTCTTCTAAACTTTTCCTTTTTCAGTTTTCTGTTCTGTAGTATTTTTCTTCAACGTTGGTGTCTAACAATTATCCGTGTCAGTCACCTTTCTGCAATTAGTTTTCTGTTCCATAATATTTTCCTTCGCATGTTATCTTCCTTCTCATCTTTATTAAACATCTTTTAAGTTGACCAATATCCTTGCTAATGAGGTGTCTGTTCTGCTCATTTTTCCATGTTACTTTAGCATACTTTGATGAAACCAGAGCTCTCACCTAGACTGCCTTATATTCCCACCAGCAAACTTATCTGTCATGGTTTAAGAGAAGGGTACACTGCTCTGCTCTACTTCTGATGTTTATAAGTTATCTTTTGAGTGTAGTTGTTAATCATATATATTTGCGTAATTTTCTTGCTGGCTTAATGGTTCTCTTGTTAGTTTGTTATTTGTGTGTACCCCTATTAGCTATCTGAACAAGCATTACAAATTTCTGTTAATTTGTCTTAACTTTTGAAGTTCTTACATCCTGGCAACTTATCTTTGGCTATAATGTTTGTTATTCAGTTAACTTTTCTGGCAGCATATCTTTGGCTATTCAGTTTACTTGTTAGTTTGTTATTTTTGTGTACTCCTATTAGCTATCTGAACAAGCATTCCAATTTTCTGTAAACTTGTCTAACCTTTTGAAGTTTCGTTTTGGCGACATATCTTTGGCTAGTCTGTTGACTATTCGGTTTACTTTTCTGTGTTCTTGGTTTGGTATAGGTGTCAAAACTGTCAAATGAAGATTGTGTAACATGTGTAGACCTTCTTGAAGTTCTTCTTGTGGACCATATACACAGGTTTTTGTACTTTTTTGCATGTGATGTGACATATTCTATGATTTTCTTTGATAGATGTTAGGAATGACTCGATAATTCTATTGTCCTTGCAGAGTGTCAGAGTCATTATCTGTCAGATCCTTGTTACAGGTAAATTACATTGCTCGTAGGATATTTTCTTTGCATTTGTTACTAATTTATAGTTGTGTTGCATGCTACAGTTATTAGTTTTTTTAATCTGCCATCCAAGTTGGGATGTTCGGAAAGCAGCTCATAATGCTACCAGAAAGATTAGCTCTTTGTCTTCAATTTTGCTTGAGGATATCCTAATGGAATTTTCAAACTTGTTACGTCTAACTGGAGATAGAATATCAGTTCTGAAAGCAAGGTATAATCTTGTTGTCTACTTCCTGTTTTCATTTGGTTTAGGAGCATATGCTTTCTTGTACTATGATATGTTACTTTGAAGCAGCATGCTTTGATATTTCCTCAGTTGATTTTGTGTTATTCTTGTCTCCGTGATCATTTACATTGTTTAAACCTCTACTCATTTAGCATTTTAAGAAAATCTTCACTGGGTTCTGTTAGTCTATTTTTCAGTCTCTTACATGAGGCTTAACTTTTTTATTCTGAAGTGACTTAGAAAATTCTCTGGATCCACAAATGCCATTTCTTCCATCTACTGAAGTGTTAGTGAAGACTTTGCTTCTTATTGCGCCAGCAGCAATTGCTAGTAGTCCAAAGACATCTTCTCGGCTTTTATTTTGCTCACACCATCCTTGCATTATCAACACTTATTGCAGTGATGCAGTATGGAAGGTATGATATTGAAACTTGATCATTTACTTTTCATTAAAGCTGTTTTTCCTTAGTATGTAAACATTTTAACCACTGTTTGTTTACGGACGGCTAAGAAACCAGTTAGGAGTAGTTTCATGTCTGTTGCAGAACATGCTACTGTCTGTTGACTCTGAAGTCTTCATAGATGTATAGATGTGTCTACATTTCCTTTATGAGTCTTCTATTGATCCCTGTGGTTAAACGTTATTGGTTGTGAAAGGATTGATAATAGTGTAGGTCTAATTAAATTTTTATATCATTCCCTGACCAAGTTCCTTTGCCGTGAAAAGAGTAGCTACTTAAGGAAATCTCTTAACCTCATAAGCTTCCAGGTTATTATGGTAGATGTTTTCTTTTTGTTTGATTGTAAGTTGTACTGTAGTTTTCTTGTTTTCCCTTTATCATGCAACTGTTACTTTATTCTGCTAACATTTCTGTCCAAGCCTTCCCTTTTTGAAATAAATAAATAAAACTAGAGGGGGGAAAGGTAGTGATAAAATTGTAAAAGTAAGGTTTGAAATCTTATTGAAGGATTTGAATTGCTTTTGGTAGCATCGGAATCATGCATTTATCAGTTTGGTAATTCCAGTAGTTTCTGTTGGAATTATTGTTGTATGTGTATCTTTTGCCCCATCGGTTTCATTATTTTATATGTTCCCAATATAAAAGTTATTTTGTACTTCACTTCTTCTCTACACTATGCATTACTGTATCCAATATCAGCTTGTATTTATTGTTAGTTAATATTGGGAGAATCAGTTGATTTTGATTTTGATTTGATTGGATCAGCATGCTTAAAATCTAGTACGGTAAGGCCGATATGTATTGGTTTGGCAAATACTCAAAACCTTCCATAAAAGTCAACAAAGTCTGAGCATGAGGGTGAATTTTTTAATTGCAGTCTGGTGTCATACGTAAGAAAATAGGACATTGTTTGCTGTAAAATATATTTAGGTGGATGAATCATATTAGCAAAAGATGTGTCTTTGAGTTCTCACATGTATTTAATATCGCAGAATGACAAGGTAATTTACTATGATTATGAGCAACTATCATATATATGAATATGCAACATGGTTACATGAAACAACATGACCAGCCTTTGCAGATACTAATCATAAAAACCTCGATATGGAAAAGCACATACATGAGCATGTTAGTGCGGGCAAGTTAACATTTTTCACATCTTAAATTCGTAATATATTTTATTGTTATAACAGTTTCAGTGAAAGAAGTTACGTCCAAAAATTTGCAATGACAATCACCTCCATGATCATGTTTGTTGGTTCGTGGTTGAAATATTATTGGATTTATAGTGTAATGTGTTTGTTTGGTTCCTGCTAACTGTAAATGTACTGATGCTATAATGGAATGTACTTGATATAAGTGATTCATGAATCTTAAAATTTTGAATTATATCAGTGTTATTAATATTTATCAAGTGCTTGACTGGAGGGCATCATATCAGATTTATTTTAATACGAAAAGCCAATTTTATGCAGTTAGAGTATGTATTTGCATGCCCATTTTTTTTCTCATTTTATTACCAAGCATGATATCAAGAAATATATATTTGTTGATTAATTCTCAGAGACTCCAAAGAAATTTGAGGAGGAATGGATTCGATGTTATTGACATAGTGGCTGCAAATGTTGGATCCATCTGCAAGGTAATTTCCATGGACAATTAAAATTATCTTTGCTAATACTTCCATCTATAACACAAAATCCACGTGTGGTTGGCATTTGTTCCCCGATGTGCGTTCGTATTGTTCCTCTTATAAAACATGTAATTTTGAAGAAACTCCAACGTCCAATTAATTACTTATGGTGCCACTTTTTCCTTCAAATTTGAAGTTTTCAATCTATCATGTTGGAGTTTAAAGAAACTCCAACATCCAACATTTGATTTATTTGATGTGGTTCTGTTGATAAGCATCTTCGACCCATAAAACTTAACCTATCATGTAGGTGCCATTGTCGCACCCCTCAACTAAGCGCGCCAGTTATTAATCGGTATATTTCTTCACATTTTAGAAGGAAGCTTGACCTGCATGATACTTTTGCTACTCTAAAATATTACGACGAGGGAGTGCTTGATTAGTCCCCCCCATAAACTTAACCTATCATATAGGTTTCGTTATCTGTCTCAACCTAGCGCCAACCACCATTTATTATCGGTAATTTCTTCACATTTGAGAAGAAAGCTTGATCTTAAAGCTGCATGATACGTTTGCAACTCCAAAAATATTACTGTGATAAGTGCCCGATTAGTTCCTCAATGGAATTATGTTTTGCTTGGAGAGTTATATTTGGTGGACAGCAACTCAGGCTGTTTAATTTATGACAACATAAACAGATGCGCGCTTTGGTTAGTGGCATGTTGCTCTATTTATCGCAACTCAAGTCACCATAAGGCTTTTTTTGCTGCAATATGGCTTGAGCCCAAGCTGGCACCTTTAGCGCCATTAGCATCTTGAGTTGCAACAACTCGTGAGCAACTGCCTCCTCTATTTGCGGCCTACCAATTTTAGATCCAAAATAGTTTCATTAGCTCTCTAAATTTCATTTTATTTTTTCATTCTTTGTGAGGCTCACCCTGTTAACCTTAAGTTATTTAGCTTCACGCAACTCTTATTTTGAAGGAAATCCATTAAGCCCCATTAAAAATGGTTGAAAACATTTGTAGTGGTAATATGTCACTAATCAACATTTGGCACATGTTAAGTAAGGATAATATGCCACTTCTCTCTGGGGATCATTATAAACTTAGCTTGCATCTACTTTAATTTTGGCTTGTTGTGTAATCTACTTTCTTAATGCTTTCAACGAGTTAAATGGGGAGGCTTGTACAGTTAGTTATCTGGTCAATTGTTTTATTGTTCCTGAACAAATTTCTTGTTTTTTAGCAACTATTACTGTGTTGACATTATATAAATGTTGCCCTCAACGTCGTCAACGATAGGGGGATTTCAAATTTGTATTTGCATTATGTAAACTTCACCCGTCAACGATAGTGGAATTCCAATGTTGTATATGTTGTTTGTTGGCCAAACATTAGTGGGAATAGTAGCGAGAATTATGAATCCTGTAATTCTAGAGGAAGGAATTTATGGGGAGACATAAGGAGGTGCATATATACATAGTGTGGAACCACCTTGACCAAAGTTGATGCCATGTGACCCCACTTTGGTCAAGGAGGATCAAGAACATCCTTAAGTTTGGGGGTTACTCAGATAACTCCCCTTAACTTCAGAATGTCACAATTGCTCTTTAACTTCTAAAATTCTCAGAAAACCTCCTTCAACTTTCTATGCTTTTAAATAAATACCCTAAAAGTGTGTATCACAATTTCACTTGTAGAATATCTCCCTGTGTAATTTTGTCCACCCACATGAAAATTGTGGTTTAACACCTTTGAAAGATGTTGAAATTTGAAGGGGGCTTTCTGAGAACTCTAGAACTTAAGGAGGGTTTTCTGTAGTTTGAAGTTAAGGGGGTTATTGGAGAAATGCGCAAACTTAAGGAGGTTAAAGAGGTTAAGACAGATCCACCTTGACCAAAGTCGGGGTCATGTGACCCCACTTTGGTCAAGTAGGACCAAGAAACCCCTTAAGTTTGGGATACTCAGATAACTCCCCTTACTGGAATGTCATAAATCCTCTTTAGCTTTGGAGATTCTCAGAAAACCTCCTTCAACTTTCGATGCTTTTAGAAAAATCCCCTGAAAGTGTGAATCACAATTTGACTTGTAAAAATACCTCCCTGTGAAATTTTGTCCACTCATGTGAAAATTGTCATTTAACACCGTTAAGGGTTACTTTGTGAAAGATGTTGAAATTTGAGGGTGGCTTCCTGAGACCCAGAACTTAAGGAGGGTTTTGTGTAGTTTGAAAGTTATGGGTGTTATCTGACTATTGTCCAAACTCAAGGAGGTTTTCTTGAAATTTATCCACAAAAAGCTCACCTCTCAATTCAAGTTCATAACACGAGAACTTATCACTAGTGACATATACTGAGAAAGATGTATTTGATAGTGTTACTATTGATGTCATTATGTATGTTTTTTTTTAAAATATGAAAACTCATCCGAGGCAACTGTAAAATCTTTTTAAGTATTAATTAGTGTTACTTGGGAAATCCTGTAGCATTTCCCAGTTGGAATAGACCCCATTAGTTCTATTCTTGCGAATAGGCCCTGAGTGGATTTTTTTAAAGTCTTAAAATCATTAAAATGGTTTGAGAAGGCGGGTAGACCTCTATAGTTCTATTGATGAGGATAGACCCTCTAACTGCTAATTTTTTTTAATGTTCAAAAGAGTCAAAAAGTTCACTATGGGACGTATTCGCACCTGGGCCAATACTACAAGGGTCTATTCACTACAAGTAGAACTTTAAGGGGCCCATTCATTATGTTGTGACACCGCTTCCTTGAAATCCTGGATCCGCCACTGGCCTGACACCTTAAAAGAAATACCTAAATTGTTTCCTCTGATACATTTATGTAGCATATAGCCAAGCATAGTTTTTAAATAAATATTTGCATTGGTCAAATATCAAAGCATCATTGTTCCTAAACAGGTCTCTTGTTTTTTTTAAAGCTTCTATTACTGTTTTAACGTTATATAAATATCACCCTCGTCGATTGGGAAATTTCAAATTTGTATTATGCGAACCTCATCTCAACAATAGCATATTCCAAATTTGTATATGTTGCTGGCCGAACATTAGTGGGGTTAGAAGCAATAATTATGAATTCTGTAATTCTAGAGGAAGGAATTAAGGAGAGACATAAGGAGATGCATATATATGTACTGCTGATTTTCAGTGCGATGAACTACAGTATAATTTTTAGCCTGACACCTTAAACAATGTACCAAAATTGTTTCTTCCATACATTCATGTAGCGTGCAACCAAGTATAGTTTGGAAATAAATATTTGTATTGTTTAAATATCAAAGCAGCATCATTGGTTAATGCAGTTTCATGCTCAATGTCTATTCTTTCAGGATCTTCTTGGACCAATGGGATTAATGAGTTCTAATATTTTCGAGCGACAAGCAGCCCTATGCTCATTAACAACATTGATGAAGTTAACACCAAATGATACATTTTCAGAATTTGAAATGGTCAGTACAAACTAGCCTGCTTAAATTGATGCTAGTGATTGAAGTTGTGATGTACTTTTGACTGTTTATTTTTCTTTTCTTACATTTTCAGCTCTTCAGGAAACTTCCGGATCGTTCTTTGCACGATGCTTTATCTGATAGTGATATTATGGTAATTATCTAAGCATTTTTGCCTACATTCAAGCAAAAAAATTTCAATACGGTCTCAGATTAGCAGAAACCTCAAATTTTTAAATAAATATATTCTAGAAGCACAGGCACGTCTGAACTCTGAAGATTAAGAACCTAATTAGTTCGATGGGCATGAGCTCTGAAGATTAAGAACGTAATAAGCTTGATTAAGAACCACATCATGTCTGAACTGACAATTTCTAGAAAGCTCTCAGCTAAAATGACTTATATTCTGTATTGTGAATCTATTTTCTACAATTTAGATGCCATCAATTAAATAAATTGAACTCCAGCAATTTGCATGTGCTCTTTATGGTTCCCCTTGTCTTTTGGAATGACTCATTTGTGTTAGGTTTTTAGTCTGCTAAGCTGATGCATCCTTTATATTTCAATGTTTACCGTAATCAGACAAGTTCTTGGTATATTTCCATAAGATCATGCTCATATGATGCATAAAACGAGCTTAAATATGTGCATAGTGTAATGGAAAAGAGTAGTAGTCTTGATGTTGTGTTTGTTGGGTATTCCAGACTTTTGTCTGCTTACTGTTTAGACTCTTTGATCTCGGTGGTTGTCATTAGCTAGATACCTTCATCCTGAAAGCACAGGTGATTAGAAAACAATACTGGGTACTCTCTAGCTAGTGGCTGCCATGCATTGCTGCTTTATCATGGAGTTTGCTATCTTGACAAGGGAATTTGACAGAGTGATGCATCATGGAAGGATAAGGTTGAGTTTGATTAGGAATTTGGTTTTAAAGATGATCCTCCTTTTACCCTTTGGTGGTTATGGTCACGTGCACGCAGATGCCCACCTTGTATTTAATTTAAACCCTGCTCTTTACGATTTTGTTATAATACACACCAAGTCTATAGGTAATGTTTCCTATTTTAGTTTGCATTTAATGATTTTCTTCTTTTTCTTGCTATCTGTATTGGGTTCGTAATTATTTATTATATTTACTAATTAAAAGCTCTAGTTAGGAAAATTAATTATTCAAACCGAGTCGATCTTTGCTCTTTTTGGCCTATATCTCCACCTTGTATATTCGTTACAGAGTTGATGGTATATGATATTTGATTGTGCTTTTTAGAAATTATATATAATGCATTACTGTTGGTGACAAATCTAGTTAGATTAAACCATACTGTTTTTTAATTTAAATCATCTCTTTTGTTGTGATTCTATTTGCTTTGTTATTGTTTGTTAAGTCTGCTCATGAGGACCTAGTCATTAAACATGAGAATTATGTATTTATCAAGTCATTCTGTCTTGCAAAACCAGATCTTTTATACACCAGAAGGAATGCTATCTACTGAGCGAGGAGTGTATATTGCAGAGTCTGTTCCATCCCAAAACATGAAACTTGCAAAGGGCCGGTTTCGTGCTTATGAGGATCAAAATGGCACGGTAAATTTCGTTCAACTTGTAAAAGTTTTTCATATTCATGTTTATCCTTATTTTGTTCGCCTCATTCTAAAACTAACTTTACACGTCATCTCGTACAGCCAAATAAAAGAGAAGCTACAACCACAGGAAAGAAAGATACTGGGAAAACTAACAAGAAAAGTGGCACGTATTATTTGAAGCAGTTCCTTTGTGCTAATGTTATATTTATAATTTCTGACATACTACAATTTCTGCTCATGCAGATAAACCAAAAAGTGAAAAAGAAGAAGCACGAGAATTGCATCTCAAGGAGGAAGCATCTATTCGCGAAAAGGTTAAATCTATAAAGACTAATCTCTCCAACATGCTCCTAGCTCTTGGTGAGGTGGCTCTTGCAAATCCAGTATTTATGCACGGTCAGCTCCCTTTACTGGTAAGTTAATGTTCTGTTCTGGTAACATATGCCTTGGTCTACAGGTATCTTAGATTCTTTGATAAGCTATTTAATTTTGTACTCTATGAAACCTGTTTTAATCAGAAAAAGTCTTCATATAATTTATGTTTTTGAAATTTCTTCTTCATTATGCATCTGCTGATGAATACTTCTTTATTGTTCTTTACCTGATAAGATTGCTCTTATTGCTTCATATTCTAATGCAGTGCAAAGATATTTCATTATCCAAAGTTGACTTTTTGTTATTGTTTAATTCATTACTTGTTACATTCCCTGCCTTCTTAAGAACCATTATGGATCTAATTACAGAAGAATGTGCGTGTGGACCTAATTACACTGGGATGAATGAAAGTGCCAATTTTATATTTTGTTCAATGTCTTGTCCTTACTATTGTAAGTGATGCAAGATACAATTCTGAGTAGAATCTACATAAATTCTGACCTTTATCAAGAAACCTTATATATCATAATCACATGAATGAAAGTACCAGTTTTATGTATCTTGTTCAATGTCTTGTCCTTACTATTGTAAGTGGTGCAAGATACAAGTCCGAGTAGAATCTTTATAAATTGTGACCTGTATCAAGAAAGCTTAGATATCATCAAAACTGGCGATCTCTAGTTTTTTAGCCCGAGGCATTGATACGATTATACAAAGAGAAGAAATCAGAAGCCAGTGTAATCTGTGAGATTAGGTTTATTGCAATTCTAGTATGTCTTCCAGTAGTATTAGTACACAGGTGGAATTCAATAACCCACACCTTGCTTTTCTGATGTTAACTGATTTGTAACAAGTAGTATAATTGTATTATATTTGTCTTGACAATTCTGTTCACAAAAGTGCGCTACTCTTCTTGGCAGTCTATCTGTTGATAAACAGTATGTTTGTGCTTCAATATTTTATTATCTATTCATGAATATAACTCTAGCTGTCATGGCTTGGTAGCTACTCCAACCTCTTCTGTTTAGTTCTAATTTTGTTTTGCTATTGTATTGTCATCTGAATTATTAACACTTGGCAGAGTGGTTTAGCTTAGTCTTTTTCGCTGCAAGGTAATGATATGTATATCTCAATTACAGGTGAATTTTATTCAACCTTTACTGCATTCACCTATAGTAAGTGATGAAGCATTTGACACCATGTTAAAGCTGGCGAATTGTTTGGCTCCACCGCTATGTAACTGGGCCCTTCAAATAACTTCGGCATTACGAATTATTTCCAGTGAGAATATACATATAGTATCAGAGCTTCTTCCTCCCCCAATTGTTGAAGGGGAAGTCCATAAACGACTGTCAGCTGGTATCTTTGAACAAATAGTCATGGGGTTATCAGTTTCTTGCAAAACTGGCCCTCTTCCAGCAGATTCCTTTACTTTCATTTTTCCGGTATTTCTTCCTTACCTTTTCTTCCCTTACCTTTTCCCCCTTCTATATTGACCTGTTAGCCCAGTTAAAGATTATGCTACTTTTCTTTTTTGCTATAAGATTATGGAGCAGATTCTTCTTTCTTCAAAGAAGACGGCTCTTCATGAAGACGTGCTCCGGATATTGTCTATGCACTTGGACCCTGTTTTGCCTCTTCCTAGACCTCGGATGCTATCAGTTACACCTCTTGAACTTTGTGGCATATCTTTATACACCAATGTCATATTTTGTACTTAAACAACACTGTAATCTTCATAAAATGGGTTGCAGGTTCTATATCATGTTCTTGGTGTTGTTCCAGCTTATCAGGCAACTATTAGGCCCATGTTAAATGAATTATGTTTAGGTCTACAAGTGGAAGAAGTTGCATCAGTGAGTTTGTCCATCTTTTGTATTATGTAAAGGCTATGCATATACTTCTGTTTCTTTAGTTCTATGTTTATACTCTATAATATTTACTTTCAGGCTCTTTCTGGAGTATATTCAAAGGAGGTTCATGTGAGACTTGCATGCTTAAATGCTGTTAAGTGCATTCCTTCTGTTTCTAGCCATTCTCTTCCACAGATTCTTGAAGTTGCAACCACTATATGGATTGCGTTACACGATCCAGAGAAGGTATGCTTCCAAATTGTTTTTAGTTTTATTCTTCATTGAATATCTTGGAGCTAATTTTATATGTTTGTTTTATAATTCTCCTTTTGTGTTTTCTGTTAATGTGGTGTTATGTAGCAGACGACTTTCTAATGTTTACTATCTTTGGCATTTATTGTGTTTCTCTATAAATAACCATCTCAGCATTTTCACTGTATTTTCTGAATAACTACACTTAGTGTTTATTTGAATTAAATCTTCTGTTGCTAAGCATATTTCTTTGTCTTTTTTTCAGGCAATTGCTGAAGCAGCAGAGGAATTATGGGATCGCTATGGGTTTGATTTCGGGACTGATTATTCAGGTCTATTTGATGCACTTTCTCACATTAACTACAATGTACGCGTGGGTTCTGCGGAAGCATTGGCTGCAGCATTGGATGAAAATCCAGACACAATACAAGTAAGTCGTTACTTCTTCTATCAAAATATTGACCAACTTGTTGACTTCAATTGTTTGTTAATGCTCAGGAGACCCTTTCAACTCTATTTTCTCTCTATATACAATATCTTGGTACCGGGACCGATGTGGCAGATCCATGTTGGTTAGGGAGACAAGGTGTTGCTTTAGCACTCCACTCGGCTGCAGATGTGCTGAAAACTAAAGATCTTCCAGTTGTGATGACATTTCTAATATCGCGGGCCTTGGTAAGCACTTGTTTCTCCTTCCTTTCATAGTTTCCTCATCTTTTTGAAAGTTGTTTCCCTGATGTATTCCTTGATTTTCCACTTTATATTTACTTTTGGCTGCAATGCTGAAGTTGCATTCATCCTTTACCCCCCATATTATAGGCTTGCTACTTGTGCTCCAAGCATCCAAAAGAAATTTATTACTGCTACACATGATTTTTTAAGGATTATTCTGCTAGAAGAGAAGTTCTTGTTATGGCTTTGTGAGTACAAAGAGATTCGTTCCTAGCAGACTGATTGAGGACAATATAGCAGCTATATTAAATGCACAGGATTTGTCCAAAACATGTCACATGCAAAGGACATGGCAGTTTAAACCAAATGCAGTCAGTTGTGTTTTAATTTTTTTCTTCTTTATTATTATTTTTTGTTGGG